GCTGGCCGAATGGAATGGAATGAAGATGTTCGGCCCAGTCTCGTCCTTCTCCCCGTCCATCATCAGTCAGATGGGCCGACTGACCCTAGAAATGACACCAGAGGAGATCGGTATGCTCCGACCGACTGAAAGGAGCAGCATCGCTTCTTTGGGCGCCATCAGTGAGTGGAGCAGCAACCAGGTAAGTGCCTGGATGCATTTACTTTCATGGATGGACGGATGGGTGGATATATAGACACTCAAATAAAATTCACATTGCCATAAAACACAGGATTATTGTTTCGTATTTACCGGAATACAATGGGAGGAATATCTGATATTTCACATGCACTGGTAGGGAAGTAATGAAATACAAATTCTTGGTTACTATACTTGAGTTTTTCAGATATTTGAGGACTTATTTTCCTCAGGACCTTTTATTTCTACCCCCTACTTTAAGATATTAGGAGTCCCGAGTCCTTGTTTTGTCAAAATAGGCTTGTTATTTTTCTTTCTCAGTCTGTGGATGATGACATGATGTAAAAACAAAACAAAGTTAAAAACACATACAGGTAAGGTGTCTGTTGTCAGTAAGCCAATTTTAGCATGTGAGAAATGTTGAGCCAATGCTAGCTCACTCTTCATGAACAACATGAGACATGTCATGAGACAATTGATTTTTAGCCCGATTTAAGTTCATAAGAGGGGTTTTTTTGTAGTTGTGCCAATATATCAAAATAGGTCTTGTATGTGATTTACAGTAAAATGACTTTTTCATTTTGTATCGTACTTAAAGTACAGGAGTTTAATCAGTAGCCTACTTTTACATTTACCAGTCTTTCTTACAGAAGTACCCGTACTTCTAAAAGTACAGAGTGTGAGTACCGGTACTCTTTTTTTTTTTGCCATCTGTGATGAAATGTGATGACAATAGAAGTTGGAGCAAACTTTTTAAAAACCAAGTTTATTGTTTCCGTCGAGCTTCCTCTAGTCCACAGGTGTCAAACTCAAGGCCCGGGGGGCCGATCTAGCCCGCCACATCATTTTATGTGGCCCGCGAAAGCAGCTCAAACATGTCAACTTCCATGATCCTCTCTAAAAGGTCTACCAAAATTTTGTATGCAATACATAAGAGATATAGCCTATGCATTTTCTTGTTACTAAATCCCTTATGGAAGTAATTTAAACAATAGTGGAATCAACAGTTATTCTTGACTTCTTTATATGGTTTCAGTCATAACGGCCCTCCAAGTGAAACAGTAACTAAAATGTGGCCCGCGACAAAAAAATGAGTTTAACACCCCTGCTCTAGTACATTACACGGTGGCTACTCAGTTTGCCACGGTGCCTCACCTCGGTCTGCAGTGGTTGGCGTGATGCAAATCCCTCGCATTTGTAATTTAAAGCGTTAGACAGGTGACGGCACTTACTTTTTTCCTAGCTGGTTGCACTGTTCACAACAACATTGAACTCCACCAAGCTGAACCCGAGCCAACTTGACTCCAGCATTCTGGTAGCCATTGGATACATGGTGTGCGGAGCTAAAACAACAGAAATGAGCTCTTTCAATGCTGTTGAGTTCAGGTGAGCAAATGAACATCTTGCCTTTCCAGCAGCTCCTATATTTTGTTCTTCTACTTCTTCCTTTCATAACTTTGCTGCTGTGAATTGGGAATTTCTCCATTGCGAGACTAATAAAGGTTTTCTTATCTTATCTTGATATTCATCATCGTGAATCTCACTGATTCACTCTGTCTCCCCCTGGTGGTTGTAGCAAGGCGGTGCTCTGGCTGGGTCAGCTCAAGCTCTCCTGCTCAGAAGAACAGTTGTCAGCGCTGGCGGGCCTGCTGACCCACAGTTTGGCTTTTGGACCCATCAGTTCATGGGGGATGGAAGTCTTCATTGAGATAGGAAGTCTGGCAGGTACTTAGCATTCCCCTGATATAAACATTTGTTGAAATATTCATCTGTCCATCATCCACTTGTCCTCATTAGGGTCATGAACAAGGCTAGCAGAGGTGACTTTAGATAAGAGGGCGGGTACACCCGAACTGGTTGCCACTTATTCTTGATCTTCATCAAAAATGGTTCATTAGTATCATTAAAAATAAATAAATAATAACACATTGGATGGATGGAACAGCTGTGTGACAAAGAATGATTCACTTTAGAACAGTGGTTCTAAACGTTGTTAGAGGTACCGAACCCAACCAGTTCATATGGACATTCACTGAACCTTTCATGAGTAAAAAATAAAAATATGATTTTTTTTTTTACAAATTCAAGACATTAACAAAACACATTTATTAAAATCAGAAAAAAAGTAAATACAATTACATGGCATAAGTATAGTTTTTTTTTTTTTTTTTTTTGTATGACGTACTATCATGACAGTCACAAGGTGACTACTGAGCGAACTAAATTTCCCGCAGCACTGATTGGACAAGCAATGTAATGTGATCATCTGCAGCCAGCGATGGCCAAGCGGGCGTGTCATAACTAATGACATCTTGAGTCGGGTGTGTCTTAACCTCCGTGGCAGAGGCTCCGTCGACCCCCTGAGACTGATTCACCGAAGCCCTGGTGTTCAATCGAACCCAGGTTAAGAACCACTGCTTTAGAGACATTAAAAGCATATCTTTTTTTCCTTGCCTGTTTTCAAATCAACTTTGTACTTTGGAGCATGTCCATGTTTCAATCCCGACACTAAGACATTAACTTTTCACAGCTGGTCTCCCAGATATAGCCATGTCAGCCTTGGTAAAAGAGCAAATAGAAGGAATAACACCGATGGCTATCTCAATGATCCCCCCTGACAAGTTCGCTGTAAGTTGACTTCTCTTCAACAAAATTCTTCCTTTGACTCAAAGCTCTTCATCGCCGTGAATATTGCATTCTGCTAATTCTTTTGGTGTTTTCTGCTTTCTTGTCCTCGTGTCATACCACGCGAAGGTTGTGTTCCATCAGCGGCAGATCAGCATGTTTTCTCATGAGCAGGCTGCTGCAGTAACAGAGCAGCAAATCACAGCTCTGTCAGATGTTCAGAGGACTGCTCTCTTTATGGTGCTCACACCCTGGGAGGACAGGCATGTGGATTTTAGAGGTGAAGACACTCTTCCATCTTTTTTTTATCTGTGTTCTACTTTTTTCATTGGTTATGTGTTGAATATAAACATGCCCCAATAGTGATAATTAATTCAGCATGTTTAAAAACTAGCGACAAAGTTTCAGGTCAGGTTTTTGTTTGCTTCATAAGGTGTGCACTCACACAAAGTTTTTGCATTCCCTCCTAAAAAAAAAAAAAAAAAAAAAAAAACATGGCGAGCGCCGGTAAATGTATCAGTCTATCGCTAATTGGTAAGGGAACTCATAGTTGTTATGCATGTTTATCTCCTTATGGGTCAACCTTCGGGTAAACATATGCGGCGTCCGAGGTGGGCGCTCTTTTGATTGACAGAAAGCTCCCGAACTCAAGTCACACTCTTTTGGATACTCTGTTTGAGGCATTGTCGTCAGCGGGTTCATTCATTACCATGGACCAAAAGAAATTATTCCATTACTGTTTGCTTGTCTGACTGCATTATTTTGAGCCTAAAGCCATTCAATCAGTATCAGTCCAAATGGCTTCATCTGGTGCAACGATAACAAACAACCAAATGTTACGGTGTCTGGAAATAAGTGTCTGTGCATCGGTGGTAGCCGAGTGAGTCAACACAGCAGTACTATTGCACATTACATTACTGTTTCTCAGATTAATAAATTGTGACTGTTTTTTACTGAGGAATACATTTATTCATTTATTTATGTTTACCAGTGCGGAAGGAGAAAACTTTACTGACACTCTCAGTTGGAAGACTGTTATAAATTATTCAAACGGCTATGTGGATGTCGCCCCTAAATGGAAAACAATATCTGCACCTCACATACACACATGTCCCCGTATAAACAAAAACTATTTGGGAGCATTTATTTTCCATCTAAATAACTGTGTTGTATTCTTAATCCTCTCTGGATACGATGTATTCTTTGCTGTAATTGTGTGTACCTACCTGTCATTCGCACCACCCCGCTCAGAGAAAAATATGTTGCAATGATAAAGCCAGTGACAGCAACGGTTTAAACACGTTTATTTGGTTTATGAGCAAAGTTTTCTGTTGTTGTCTTTGTCCAACCATCTCAACTCGGGCAACTTAGTATGTATCCGCAACACACATGGCCCTGTGGAAAATGGTAACTGGTTGTTAAAAAGATGCTGGATGGCTTTTTGCCTACTTTTTGCCTCTGAGTAAGGCACTAATGCTAGAGGTGTCAAACTTATTTCACATTGTGGGCCACATACGGCCTCTGTAGATGTCAAGTGCGCCGGACCATTAAAATTATACCATTCTATGCTATAAATAACCAAAATATCATGTCTTTCCTTTGTTGTGGTCTAGAGAAGCACAAGAACATTAGGAAAATTTTGAAATTTAATGAACATATCTTTTACAAAACATTTCATATAACACCTTAGATTTCCTTAGACAAATGTGCAAAATTGCTTTTATCCATCACATATATTAATTGCAACTGATACCCCTGATTGTACAAAGGCACAAAACTTTAACAAATACAGTAGTTGGTATTGAAAAATATAGTAATGCATTTTTAAGATGACACATGCATATAAAATCTAAATTTAAGTCCTACCTACACCTTACAAACTAAGGAGAGTGCTATTAAATGTGTACAGAATAAAGTATTCACATGTCCTTGATAGCGTCTGCTGTGTTGGGTGAGGTTTGTCTCAGTGACAGACTGAGACTGCTGTTGTCTTCTTCTCTGATCAAAACAATGTTGTCTTCTACTCTGATCAAAACAGTGTGTCCCCTAGCGGATAGTCCATTAATTGCACCATATTAAAAATATTCATTCCGTCTTTTATGCATTTCTTTTCACTTTTAAATTATCCTGCGGGCCTGATCAAACCTCCTTGGGGGCCGGTTCCGGCCCGCAGGCCGTATGTTTTACACCTATGTTGATCTGGAGGCTGGGGTAGGTCACTAGTCACTAACCCGGTTAGTGACTAACCCCAGCCTCCAGATCAACAGTTTGCGCGCCACATTCTCTCTGATATCTCACCTTACGTGCCTGCATGTGTGTGATGTGGTTCTCTGTGTGGTGTGCAACACAAATATACAATAGAGTGAGTTGAATTTCCTCTTGAGGGCTTATATCAAATCAATGAAACATTTTTTTCTACATTTATTTTTGGTAGTTAGGCCAAGCATGTCGAAAACAATTGAGCATGATGTGTTCAACATAAATACTGGAAGCTTAAGCATTCTAGTTGTTCAGTATTCTAACACTAATATGCAAATATATTTGACAGTCGGATGTTTGCAATGATTTGAATGTACTCATTTAGGGAGGTCACAGGGACTGACGGTGAGCCCCAACTCTCTGTACCTGATCCTCGGCTTGCTGATGGCGCTGACGGACAGGCCAGCCTGAGCTGACATATCCTGCTTTATGACACGACTATCCCATGTCAGGATCAGGAGGCACCGACTCGCCCACACAACCAAAGATATTTATCTGTGCAATACTGTACTGCTTTGAAACAATCACATCAGCATATTTAATGAATGTCCTCTCCATCCATTCATCTACGTTTCTTTGCCACTTATCTTTATCAGGGTCCCGAGTGAGCTGGAGCCTACCCTGGACTTGACACCTGCCAATAACAGGGCAGACATTGACAACCATTTGCACTCACCCCTCTGGACAATTTAGAGGACTGAATATAATTAACCAAACTATAATTCAAGTATTTGATTAAATTATATATTTAAGACATTCAACACTGACAAAATATATGTACAGTATATATATATATATATCGGTATATACATATTACATCTACTTTATGTAGGATGCAAGTCATTCAAAACATTACTATATGTTCCTTTAAATTTTTTAAATCATATCAACTTCTGACTTAACATGTTTTTGTTCTAAGTCCATCAACGTGATTTTGTTTATTACAGGTATTTTGGAAACACAGTACGTGTACGTGCATTCATGGACAAATCATTAGTACTATAAGTTGTGTGTTTCTGACATGATAGAGATTTGCGTTGTTTAAAAGTATCATTTAATTTTTGGTCACGTCTACCTGAGTGTCTTGTTACACATCCAAAGTAATGTTAGATTTAAATAGCACTACTTACTTCAATTTAAATCATTCCGGTTGTAAGCCATGCAGTCGTTTGTAGATGGATTTATTAATTCATTGTCATTGTATAAACTATTCAGATTTTCTTTCAGATGACTAATGAGATTGTCTCATCTTGAACTGTGTCTATTCAAGGATACACCACTATCAAAAGTAACCAAGAAAGAGACTAAAATATGTATTGATTTTATGCATAACTGGTTTTTAAAGATTATTTTATTTTACTTTTTGTGAAGTGTATGCACACAATGTTGAAAGCAATATCTTTACTGCTATATTGTGCTGACCTTAAATAAAATGGAAAAAAAAATGCTCTTAAAATCAATACATTGTGGTTTATTTTTGGTGACAGTTTAGTCACATAAGCTTAACACCAATGCCGAATTTTGGAACAACGTTGTTGCACCGGTTTGCCATTGAAAGAAGTGTGATGGGTGCAAATGCCACTTGCTTCACAAAGGATGAGCAAAATTATCTAAATCATTACAAAACATGATACAACAGTTGCACATCTCTTTGATTGTACTAGCCATGCCTGTGTTATGGCTGTACTTTGTTTTCAATTAATCATTAAAAAAACTGTTATTCCAGAGCAGGTTTATGAAGCTTTAGTCTTAGCATAAATACATGATGTTGACAAATGATCATGTTCAGTATCTTCACATAAATCCATATAATTAATAAACTCATTCAATGCCAGCCATATTCAGACCTTTCTCCTTTACACCTTTCCTAAAAAAACAAACAAACAAAAACGTACAAGTCATGAAAATGTGTGCCTGGTATTTAATTTCGATATTCTTAAAATAGTTTAAAATGTCACTGGGAATACATACCATCCATCTATTTTCTGATCCGATTATCCTCACACGGGTTGCGGGGCGTGCTGGAGCCTATCCCAGCTGTCATTGGGGAGTTGGCGAGGTACACCATGTACTAGTTGCCAGACAATCACAGGGCACACAAAGACGATCAACCATTTGCACTCATAATCGCACTTACGGACAATTTGGAGTGCCCAATCAACGTGCCATGCATGTTTTGGAAATGTGGGAGAAAACCATCATACTAGAAGAAACCCCACACAGGCACAGACAGAACATGCAAACGCCACACAGGAAGGCCGGAGCCAGAATCGAACCCTGCACCCCTGCACTGTGAAGTGGACGTCCTAACGAGCCCACCCTGCCACCCTAAACAATTGCATATTTTACTCAGATTGCTATGGGAAGGGGAATGCTGTTTATTGAAACCTATTTTATACCCAAAATATGTACACAATACCAAATTTGTCATCGCTATAACAGAAGCAAAGATATGGGCTTCTCAAGTACAGTCAGCGGCTTAAAAAAAAGTGTGTATTTTAGGGGCAAAGTATGATTTCACTTGTGTCTAGGATACTTTTTTTTCTTTAAACCTGAATTAAAGTCTCCACTATATACTATTTCTATGTTGCCCATACGTATCAATCTTGGGTGTTGTAAATTATGAGGGCAATAAACACTTTCAAGGTTAAGCAATGCTAAAAAACATAAAAACGGTACACACTGTCTTCTCTTTCAACAGATCAAAGGCTAAATATTCAGGCGTTTATCAAAAGTGTAACGAGCACGACCGGTGTGTGACGTCATTCTTACGCCATCTAGTCGGTCTCGTCTGTTTTTGGATAATGCCAAACCGTAATCTTTTCTCATCATCGTGGGGACAGGACAGAAAAGAGGCGAAGCAATTACATCAACGAATGTTATTATCATTTTGACTCTCTCGGGAAGTGGCGACATTACCAAGTCATCTCCTATTTGTGACGTGTAGAAGGTGGGAGCGGAGTGAACGTAACCAGCGGGCTGCAGCAGTGAGCAGCCTGTCCGTCTGTCAAACATTTAGCATCGCGGCCAACATGGCGGACTGGGGTAAGAAACCCAACTCGGAGCGGAGAGCAACCTCCCCATTTTTCACTCGTCAGACACTTTGATACACGAGGCCATCGCTCCTTTGTTACTAACTGCCAACTCGTATGTGGCCGGCGCTGACACATTTTCTGCTGTCGTTTTTACAGACGCTGACAACTTCGAGCTGCAGGAGCCGACTCCAAAGGCGCCGCAGGACAAATGGGAAGGCGAAGACGAAGATGACGACGTTAAAGTGGGTGAACATGACAGTGGGCGCCTCAAGACGTGGCGCTTAACGCGCTGAGGTCCAAACGCTTTGTTCGCGTGCCAGAGACTTTGTCGCACTTGCCCTGTTGTCCTTCTTGACGCGGGTGGACTGTGACAGTCAATCGCTACCCACGTAGTTAAGCTAAAGTTAGCTGACTGCTACCTCATGTGTGATCTGCTGTTGTACCCCAAGTGCAGCTAGCGGCGTGCCTGTGTATTTGTGGCTATATGTGGACATTGTAACAGTAAATACTGTCACCTTGTAGGTGTTTTAAAGGCAACATCTAGGCCTTTACAGTGTGTAGTAGTTATCCCCAAGTCTTGGTCTTTTCCGACGGAATTAACATTGTTAAAGCTAATCTCTTGTCGGGCCGCCCAGTTGGGCTAGCAGACTTGCTAACATACTGGCTAGCTTCGCTTCAGTTTGCCTCTGGAAATCAGATGAAGTAACTTCACCCCGATCAGCGCGGAAAGGCGTGTGTCGTCTTGAGGAGGGGCATTTTAGTGCTCTAAATCGGTTGTCATGAACGATTGTGTGAAAGTAGCTCCTTTATGACTGCGGAAAGCCCCAGATGGTGCATTCTAGTTGGGAAACGCGGGCAGCCGTCAGTCAGATGAACTCGTCTGGTCTGATGACTCATCCAACATCTTGCGTTAGCTCCAGAATTTTCCGTTTATTTTTAGGAAGTGGGGCTTGAGTTGCTGTGACTGTGCAGGTGCTATTACCTGAATGCTGCTTTGGTGTCAGGGAAATTGCTGGTTGGGGGCGGGCTCCTCAATTGTTGGTTTTTGCAGAAAGAAACTGATGAACTAAGTTCAAATTCGTAACACTGGAATTATTCCCCCTAGTTAATTGTTGGGACCAATATTCATTCTCAGGCTTTGTGTACGTTTGTTAAGAGTTAACTATAACCATGATAAACATGTTCTAATACTGTACAAGACATGAATGAATTTGAAAATCCCATTCAATACCTCCTCAATATTCTGGTTGAGTTTTAATATGCGATTATTTTTTTCAAGCTCTTCTTCCAATGTTTTTTTTTGTAATGAAAGCAATAAATCTGTATGTAGCACAGTATACACTATTTTACTATGCATAAATGTTTTAGTCTTTTCAGATAGGTGCATTGAGTCGGTTTCAGTTTCTTTTTTCCCCAGACAAAAGTTTTGTTTTCCAGTAAAGAGAGAATTGTCTAATGCTGTCAGCTCTGACGAAGGCTGAACTGACAACTGAAACTGTCAGCAAGGTAAGCGAATTCTCTCTTTAGTGGAAAAAAATATGAATCATGAATTAATATGTACAATGGTTAATCTACTTGGATTAGAGTTGTCGATTGATTTAAGACTTTGACATGGTGTCTATGCGCTCACAAAAACAGCTTCACAAAATTCTGACAAAAAAGTGAGGTGTACCCCTGAGTTAAAATTACAACTACAATGAAAACAAATCTGTGACTTTATCACTTCATCTTTTTTTTATGATCCATGTAACAATGACGTGTAAACATGTGGACTACACTTCTTAAGCACTGGATTTATCCAGATGCTGTATGAATTTGAGATGTCAAAATTAATTGACAACTATTTCAATAGGTTCCTTTTATCGTTGTTTAGAGCCATTGTTTGACTTTAAATTGTTTCGATCTTCAAATGTCAGCCTTTCAACAGTAATTATTTTGATTTCTGTCGTACTTCATGAAAACAGACTGATTATCTTGTAAGCCATTTGCAATCATCTGATTTTACTTTGGAAAACAATGACCAAACTAGTAACTGAATAAGTAGGAAAATGGATGGTGAGTACAATATCAATCCCTGTCATGTGATCTTGTTGGCTAATTTTTTTTCTAATCACTAAATACTACCAAATAACCAGCAGTAATTGTGCAATACACAGTAATGGGGCATGCTTCTAATACAATTAAATGCAAAATAAACACTTTTTTGATGCAATAATAAATTCTAAAAATGCAATAATAAATTCTAAAAATGTTTGATAGTGACAGCGCAAATATAAAAATAAATACGCCCTACTGAGTCAACCGACCAAATTGAAGCACCATAGATGTTTTTTTTTTTTCTCCACATTGCAGTGTTTGCGATTTGGAAATTGTGTTCTCCACAGACTACATTTACATGTCGTCAAGATCAAAAATTCCGGTTTCTAAAACATTTGGAAAAACCCGTTTGTGTGAGCGGACAGAGTTTTGAGTAACCCAATTCGAACGGCGACACACTATCGAAATGCAACGAGAAGTGATTTCCACTTGTTACTTTCTACCGCCAAAATAGATATTCACATCATTCACATGAATCAAGCAGTCGGTTTTGTCCTTCCTCTAAAAGTGTACTTTGTGTTCTCTTCGCCATGATAGTTTTCCTCTGCTTGTGTATTTCTGGCGAGTTGTGCGTCAGATGTACAGAGTTGTACACGGGTATACGTGTGTCTGTATAAACACCGTCATTTTTCCCATTGAGACGTTGTGGAGCAATCAATGTGCTCAAGCTATTAGGCTGAGTATGCCGATTAAGCGGGACGCCGCACGTGCTTCCTGCATTCAAAACCCAGGATCCCTTGTGGATCATTGCGGAGGATGTGCAGCTCTCTGTAGCCTGTGCTGTGTGAGCCGGCGCATTATCCTGCAACAAACGCCGCATCCAAGTTTCCCGCGATGGTTAAAAGTAGGAGCGTGTTTATTCCCGGTGACTGAGCAGTACAAAGAGTTGGCCTTTCTGCTATTTGAAGGTATCGGCGGTATGTATTGGTTTTCAAGGTGAGGCACAAAACCTTTGGGAGACCCCATGTATGCCATCGCCTTCATTGTGTGTGTTAGTACATCTTAGTTTTGGTCAAATGAATTCAACTACCTTCCGTCACGGCATTCTTACTTTTTCGTAGTAGATTGTCGAGGTGTACCTAATGTTGTGGGCCATGAGTTTAGAATTCATGACTGTCGCAATTTGGCTGCTGGTTCATACTGAATCACATGACTGACAGTTACTTTTAATATCCCTGGTCTCCTAGTTTGTTGCTTCCTCATTTTCAAGTGACCCACTGAATTCACTTTGCAGGACAACTGGGATGATGAGGAAGACGAGGAGAAAAAAGAACTGAACAAGACGGGTAATTATTCATTATTTGGCACTTTTGACAGCTGCTGTTTTGTCAATTATCGTTATTCCTTTTCAGAGGTAAAGGTTCCTGAAAAGAAAAAGTTGAGTGAGAAAATTAAAGAGCGAGAAAACCGTTTGAAGAAAAAACAACAGGAGTTGCAAGAAAAAGAATTGGAAGTGAGTTCTTTCCTCTGCCGTTTGCTTTTGTATTTTCCTGTGTTCCTTATGCTCATCAATGAAGAACGATGTTATGTTATACTTTGTGCTATCTGCTTTTCTAGGAAGAGCTCACCCCTGAAGAACAACTCGCAGAGAAGTTAAGAGTGCAGAAGCTTCAGGAAGATGCAGACTTGGAGTTGGCAAAGGATGCCTTCGGTAAGCCTGAAGTATTTTTGTCGGGCTAGTTACTCAAAATGTGTTTAAACCCAAATAATTAATGTTGGTGGAATTGTATTATTATTATTATTACTATTTTTTTTTTGTTTTGTTTTTAAAACACTGTCCTCTTTGGATTTGTTTTAAGAGACCCCCCCCCCCCCCTAATAAGCCTGAAGTATTTTTGTCGGGCTAGTTACTCAAAATGTGTTTAAACCCAAATAATTAATGTTGGTGGAATTGTATTATTATTATTATTACTATTTTTTTTTTGTTTTGTTTTTAAAACACTGTCCTCTTTGGATTTGTTTTAAGAGACCCCCCCCCCCCCTCCTTAACAAAGGTTCCCACGATGCAAATTCTCCACACTGTTTTTCCAACATTCTGTTCAATCCAATCTCCTATTTAGAGATCCCTCTGATGCAACTTTTTCATTCATTTTCCTCTGTCATTACCTGCCAGAAGATATGCATTCAAAAAAAAAAGTCGCATTTCGCCTGAATCTCAAATCATTTTGGGTTCCACTATCCGTGATTGCATAACCCATTGTTATGTTGTTTCCAGGAGTTGGCGGCTCTTCAGTAGCTGGAATTGATGCAATGTGTCCCTCTTCCAAAGAAGAATTCACAGAGTTTGAAAAATTGCTGAAAGAAAAGATATCCCAGTTTGAGAAATCGGTGCACTATTCAAGTTTCTTGGACTCCTTGTTTCGGGAACTCTGTATTTCATGTAAGCCATTGTTTCAGGTGTAATTACATGATGTTGATAATCCTGTTTCTCATCAGGTTCTTAGACATGTCTGACTTGTAACAACTTGTTTTCTTACAGTGGAAGTGGATGATTTGAAGAAAGTCAGTAATTCCCTCTCAGTTCTACTTAGTGAAAAACAGAAACAAGAAAAGGTACGACTGCTTCTTCATGTTTATCAGATTTTGACTGCTAGGGGGCAGTGTTTACTCATTTGAGTGACCTGCTGTGACCCTCCAACGCACACGCAAAACACTCATACTCCTACATTTTAGTATGTTCCTAAACAATTTGTGCCACATCCTGAACAATCACAGGTGTTTAAGATCTTTGGAAATATTGGCATAAAGACGGTGTTGTTTCTTAAAAAAGACAACGTGGGTGTATTACAATGGAATCTCGACCACTGTCCATACAAGGGTTTATGTTTAAGGGTTGGGTTCATCTATGATCAATGGTTTCATCACATTGACAGCAGCAACTAACCTAATGACCTTGATCAAAAGCCACAAATTACTCTCACTTTTCAGATGTGCACAGTAATTGCCCACAAACATATAACAGGTGAAAGGATGGTTACCTGTATAGGATCTATTTAAACTGGGCGTGTCAACTTGTGTGGATGTGATCAGGCCCAAACCATCCTGCTACGTAAACCTTTCATCACGGTTGTTTGGATAGCTTCTCTTGTAATTCAGATTTATAATGAACAAACGCACCCAGCCTAAGGCCATTAGGCTATGTTTACACTTTTGCACAATCCAGAATTGTATTTTATTTTCCTTTTTGTCCGTATGCGCCATGTATCATAGTTTTATTTCCCGTGCAGTGCGAATAGTACAATTCCGATTCCCCCAATCTGACCCGGGCCTCTTTCCTAAATTAGATAGGTACCCGATGCGTTTGCGGTGTAAACGCTCATCCGTATGCACCTGACGTACATGTCATCAAAAGCCAAATATGGCCTCTGCGGGCGGAAGAGAGCATTCTGGAGACGACAGATAATCGTCCATGAATCTGCAAAGTTGCTCGGAGTAACAGTGTTAACTTTATTTGCATTTAATTTATTCGCACCTGTAAGTAACCAGAAGCAGATAGTGGGTGTTTTGTGGCGATGGCTGCAGTTCATCCATGCAGACAGTTTGGTTGCTTGGGGTTGTAATTAGTAGACGTCTCTTTCTACTTCCTCCCACCTTGCTACTCTGACAGTATGAGATAAGATGAGGCTATCCCTACATATGGGAATATATTTACGTCCAGAAACGTGTGATGTTTTTTTTTTTCTGGGGGGGGGCATGCTTTTTGTGCACGCGTGTCACATCATGAATGTGTTCCGTTCTCATTATGAGTCTGTAGAGTGTCCCTAAAGTTTGAGACAGTGCATCTATTTTTCTCTACCTTTGCCAGTGCAACCAGTAATTTTATTATTTTTTTTAAACAATGTACTTTTTTGATCATCACTATTCTTGAATATGTTTTGTTGCTGATACGTTTGTGATTCGCACCCCAGCCCATTTATCAGTCATATAGTGACAATGAGTAGGGTTAAAATTGACTTTGGAAGTCAATACTTGCACCCCGACCATTCCAGGTTAGAGGCCACTGTGCTCCCACTAAAAACTTAGTCTAGAGCCCAGCATTTAAAGTCACATTTGTTTTTGTTATGTTAACGAGTATACAGGTATAAAAAGATCTGATTTCACCAAAAAATCCTAATTGAACATCCCGCCCTGCCGTGTGAACTTGGCCTTCGTGAAACAAAAGTTTTTATATTGTCTGCATTTCAATTCTGTGACAAAATGGCCAATATAACAAATGAGAACAACCTGTTGTTTAGAAAATGTCTTTCCCGCTGTAGGAAACAATCGCTTCCACTGTCAAATGGTCACAATCATAAAATGTATTTATATGAATTGTACTTTGGTATATGCCTACAGAACAACTACATTTACACAAGCAAAAACTAAGGTTTTGTGTGATGTCTTCTTGCATGATGGTTGTTCCAAATGTTTTCTGAGTGTGGACATTTTTTTTCTCAGAATTATTGACTTCATGACGCATTTGTAGGTTACATTACGAGAAGGACCCGTGACGTGCGCCACTGTTACACAAGCATTTTTGAATGACAGACGATATTTGACTTCAACTTGTTTTCTTTCCAGCAAAACAAAGGGAAAAAAAAGAAGAAAGGTGTCGTACCCGGTGGCGGTTTGAAAGCACAGATGCGAGACGACTTGGACTATGGCGGCTTTGACGGCGGCTACGCCCAAGACTACGAGGACTTCATGTGACACAGGCTCCATGGCAATAGTCCCGGTGCCCTTCCGACCCCGAATTTTGCAGCTCTACCTTATGCTGTCCAGTGCCATCCTGGAAGTTCAGAACTATGTGTTGCACCCTTCATCTTGCTTCAGTGACTTCAGGGACTGTGCTGGAAGCTTCCAGTCTCACCTTTTGATTTATGTTCAGACATACGGAATTGCCTTTTAACTCTCTTCATACAGCCTGGACTCATATGCACACACCCGAATAATTAAGTTTTTATCTGTTGGGTAACCCTGCTTCAAGGAAGTATACTTTGGAACTGCTGTTGTCTGTTGTCAGAGCTCATTTTCAATGGAATGTTGCTTCTGTTCCAAAAGCAGACTCAGTATTAGAGTTATACATGTAGTGACATAGAAACAGAAGGTTCTATGCAAATTCTTAAACCAGAATGTCATGTGTATATATTTTAGGTCTCACTTGAGGATGGTTCTCTTACAGATGAGTATATAGTATCTATAACCGGTTGCCAAATACAAATAATTCAACCCACTATTCATGTTTTCAACTGCAGAGGTTTTGTTCTGGGGCCCTGAAACTGACATCGAAGTGGAGAATGTATGTTTACAGAAAGCACACTGTTAGCTGAAAGGTTAAAGGGAAGGGTAAAGAATTATGAATTGACTTCAAAACTTGACTGCCATTCTATTGAGATGTCTCTGGATCTCCTCCAACAATTGGAGGCAAGCGTATTAACTGGTATTTTTTTTTTGGTGCATTGCAAATGAAATTTGCCATACCGTACGAGTGCTTGAAAACATTGGATCGGCGAGATTGGAACAACTGAATAAAATGGTCTCCTAATCATTACTTCTGCCGGCTTGTATCAAGTATGATGAGGATCGTGGAATTTATGGGCCTCCCCCTACTCTCTTACGGGCTAAATCAATTGAGAGCAATTTATTTCACCTTTTTCTAGATCTTGACCAATTTCAATGTGACATGGGGAATTGGCTACTGTGTTGACATTTAGAATGCTGCAGTGTTTTATAAGCATCTAATTTAATAAATCATTGGTCAAAACAAAGGTGTCTTGCTGGAATCACTAAAATGTTTTAATAGTAATAAATATTCTATTTACAAGTTTCAAGAAAATACAGTAATCGCATAAGAATGACATTGTGGAAACAAATGAACGGCATTAAGACATTTACTTTAGCTTTGGTAGTTACATACCGTATTAATTTGTAAAACATTCCTATTGAATATTTGCACCCAAGTCGAGATTAATGTTGGACACACTCATTGCTGAATCTTGATGCGCTTAGTTTCTGGCCTTTGCGCCTCTTCCTTTTGGATCTCTGGTGCTGCGTCTTTGACTGTTTCGGGAAGCGTTGGCTCTTTGCCGACGCCGGTTTTGTCTCCCTTCAACTCTCCCGCTTGTGGCTATCTGACCTTGCGAGTTTTGCAGGGTCTGGAAGAAATTTTGACGAGTAACCTCGCGACCTCCGCAAGTGAACATCAGTGCCACACCCTCGTTGCTCTTCATGACACGAGACGTGCCGTCAGAGGTGCCGTCAAAGCAGCGGCCGAGAGCAATTTCTTTAGCTGTGCGTGGATCCTGATCCGTGACTGTATAAATGCCGTAGTTATGACCGAGAGGATCAAGAGGTGCTAGCATAGTGAACTCATTGGTGTCATTGTTGACAGCTAGCGGGAGATGGTTCACAAGGTACTCCTGGAGGAGCGAATTGACATGATCTCTTTTACAACTACCCTGCGGAATCACCTTCACCAACGTGCGATCGACGCGCGCCTGATCGTACAGCATCCCGCTGCACTTGAATTCGAGGCACACGGCCGACACTGCCGTTTGGTCCATGTCGCGGATGCTTCGGATATCTCGGAGACCGTACAGCTGGCCCACTGTCTTCGGATGAGTGCCCCCCATATTGTGAGACCGCACATTAATCTCATGCGGGCTGTTGATTTTGACTTTGATGTAACAGGCACGGTATTCCATTGGCTTAGGCCACCAACTGAGGTAGTCCTCTGTCCAGCTCATTGGGTCGTCCTCATTGAATGGCACCGTGTTGTAGTCATAACGATCTCCTTCTACTCGCGAGAAGCGGAAATGAGCAGCACTGAATGGTGCCTCCTCACATTCTTTCAGTTTTTCAAAGGGATACACCGGTCCGTTGGCCTCTTCGGCCGTGTTTGGACTTGGTTTTGCCAAGTTGATGCTAAACGCTGTCTTCTTGAGTCTGGGGTTGTCATGATCAGTGCGCCTGTAGTTCAGCCTGCCCAGGTAAGGCTGAGGCACTCCGATGATATTCGGATTGAGTTTGGGAGTCGAAGCGACAGCCTCTAGTTCCTCGCCTCCGAGGTTGGCCATGACGTACGCAGTGTAAGCATCTGCTTTTTGCTCATCGCAGAAAGCCGGTAGACAAGCGCCGTTAGAGCCTGTGATGACGCTGTCGAAACGCCCCCAAGCACGAGGGTTAGAGGAGTAGCCAGCTGTGGGCTCCATGTTTATGAGACTCACTACGACTCCCTCAACCTGTTCACTGGGCATGAAGCGCTCGCTGCGGAAGGCCCGCACTTTCACATAACACCTCCGGTTCTCTGGGACGTCCAGGTTAAAAAGTCGTCGCTCTCTGATCTCCAGGTTGCCAATCAGAAAAGTTCTCTCTTCCCTTTTTCTTCTTGATTTTTTTTCAAGCTTCAGACTTCCCTCCTCCTCCCACAGGCCTGTCTCGGGGTTGAGTGACCAAAGCTTCATGGTTCTGAGGTGTTCAGGCATCATAACCTGGGCAGAATCCAGGAACACCTTCACCTCACCTGCATTCAAGGGCTCATTGGTTTCTCCGCCTCTGAAGTCAACTGAAAACATCCCATAGGTTCTCAGTGGCAAGGTATCTCCTTCGTTCCCGACAAAGTTGAGATCACTTTGGGCCGCGGCGGCTGTGGAAACATCTCTGGGGTCAAGAAATGTTACGCTGGCGTTGACGTCACCCACAAACACTTCACCGTTCTCCTTATAGAAAGAATTGGGAGGAATCTGTATGTGAGCCATCGCTTCCCGTCCTTCTACTTCCCCCAGATCGAGTGTGTTGGTTTCTGAGGACCGAATGGTCACAGGAACTTTCTTTCGTGTGAGTTGAATTTCATGGTACACAGCACCTCCTTTGGTATTGAATGGAAGTACCTTTGTTGTGTTGATGAACGTATTCATGTTGTCCACAAAAGTCAGGACTAATCTCTCCATCTCAGGCGGAACGTGGATGGTGAAGGTACCTTTGTATCCCGTACGGCTAATTCTTACACCATTCATAAAGATGTGGCCAAATCTCATTGGCTCACCGGTGTCTGCGGCCACAGCTCTCCCATGCACAATCGCTTTGGTGTCCACACATTTCTGACAGCCACATTCAGTAACGACCATTGTGGGCAGTTGGTAGCCCTGGCATGCCAGGTGCCTTTCCTCCATCTTTGCCACTCCGCAGCAGTATGCCACTTTGTCTTTGCATCTGATACCATTGTCCAGCTGTCCAACGCATGTGCTGGAAGGACATTTGCCGACGTCATAGTAGAAAGAGTTTGTGCTGTTTTGGTAGCAGTCGTGTGGAAGACGTATGAGATGAGGATCAGGCTTGGGATTGCATGAATGGCTACTTTTGCCTGAGGGGGAAAGGATATATAATTTAATCACTGAATGTCTGGCCGTTGTTTATATGTATGTAGCTATTATTATTGTAATTTTCCGAGGTAAACTGTAACATACCAATGATGTTGAGCATCGCTGGTTTGGTATGGCCTTTGTTTATATGTATGTAGCTATTATTATTGTTGTTATTTTCCGAGGTAAACTAACATACCAATGATGTTGAGCATCGCTGGTTTGGTCTTAATGGCCCCAGATTGACCGCTTGCCCTGCAGTAGTACTCTCCAGCGTGTTCAAGATGCAGCTTTTTTAGAACCAAGGTGCTATCGGATTTCCTTTCTAAGAGGCTGTTGTTATGGAACCTTTGTTCAGGAAACACAGACCGATTAGAAAAACAGAAAGAACCTGAGGATCACAGTATTCAAATGTCATGAAAACATAGTTACAGGATTTGTATATTGCACTTAAACTATAAAGTCCTACCATTGGTACTTGTCTGGCTGTGGTGTACCGGCCACATTACAGCAGAAGGCAGCAGTTTGTCCCTCTCTCCTGGCCTTGCTCTCAGGGTTGCTCAACACATGAAGCTTGTCTGAGAAGCGACAAAAATCAAAATACACATCAATTTTGATCCATTTCTGTCGTTACTTACAAAGATTTTTCCTGTACCGGTTCTTTTGAGCTGCACGCTGACGACTGTGGTACGCTCAGCGCTTTTAGGAACCAAAACACTTTGGGTGGCGTGGCCTTGCAGCCTGATCGTCAACGTGGTATTGCCATCAGGACAGAGCCCGGGGATCCGGAAATGTCCATTGTGGTCTGTGAGGGTGAGGAGTTTGTCCGAGCCCAGTATTGCAGCCCCCTCAGCAATGAGACCCCCAGAACCACGGATAGAGCCCAGTAGGATGTGCTCTTCACACATGCACGCATTACACTCTGCATTCACCCTTCCCATCACACAGTGTAGGGCGCAATCTAAAAATTGGGTAAAATAACCACAATATTCAGTCAGTGATAATATAATTTCAATGCAGAATTTGCCATATTACAGTGCTTGCTGGTCCTGGTTCAGAGAACAAATTGTTTTAAGCAACCAATGCGTGCTTACCTGTCACACACTCTGGTCCGTGGCATTCTTTCCTTTCTACCTTTGGTCCATTGCAAAGCAGTGAGGGAGAACTGCAGCTTCTGGAGCGAATTTGGACTCCCACTTGACCACAGAGGGCAGAACATGGACCCCAGTCTGTCCACGGACTCCAAATATCCTGAAAGTTGAGGCTGTTACCTGAGAAGAAATAGAACCGCAGCCGTATTACACCACAAAGTAACAATTCCACCAATGACCCAGTGGAAAAATGAATCAGCAATCACATAACATCAAGATCTGGACTGCTGAAATATACGAGAACAAACCTTTGGGACAAAGGAATCGAACCGCATAGTTGGAGCAGTTCCGCTCCAGGCCTTGCTCTTCATTGAGGCACCAGAAGCCCACAGTTGGGTCTGCGTGCACTTTCTCCCCGGTTTCACGGGCTGGGACCCAATCAGTGGTTCTGGCCTCCAGCGCTCGGGGAGTCTCACACACACGGGCTCGATAGTAAAAGCGGATGGCGTCCAGCTGCTCGTAGTCTCCGCGGCCTCCCGGATGGTCCACATTGAACCATGTGCTCCATTCGTAGTTGTCTATTGGCAGTTTAGAAGCAAGCAGGGAAATCACATTGAGGAGAATGATCGATTCCCACTTCAACACACTTAGAGGGTGTAAAAACAACAAACTTTACCATGAGAGCGGGTCATAGAATCTTCCCCTCGCCATTGTTCTGCAAGAGACCATTGATTTGATTTGATTTATGATCTTATTGTATGCGCTGATAATAACAAATAGTGGAAAACCTCTAAAAAATCGCCATTTGTTTCTGTGTACATTTCAAGCATAAGATGAGACAAATAGAAATAAATACTCGCCTTTCAAACCTGACCTTCACAGTGAGCTTGCTGCCAATAGCTGCATAAACTGAGTGAAAGTTCTCTGGGAAAACTCGACTGTATATTTCATATACCCATTCCACAACACACACTTGTTTTTTTTTTTAATTTGTATGTGTTGGAGAAATTAACCAAAAATCCTTTGTCTCTTTGACATCTATAATGTCAACTGACTCAGTTAAGTTTTAATTGCTTGTGTACAAAAAGTTAGGTCTCTGGAGGGCCTGTCCACCCACCAAGTGGAAAATTTATCAACCAAGTAGATCTGTAGTTGGCTGCCTAATTCTGCGTCTACATGCAAGCCATTCCAGATTTTACAAAATACCACGCACAAACCAAGTTTCTCTGCCTATGACCAGGGAACTCGGCCTGCAAAGCAACAGTTAGACTCTCACTGTTAGAAGCTAGCCACCAAACTACCTGGAAGTGCGATCATGTCAGAGGCAAAAGGTAAGCAGTGCCACAATGTTTGCACAGATGAGCAAATCGTGTTATCAGCTCTAGCTTCTGCTAACCGAAACATCCTCAAATGTTTGGCAAAGTAGTCGACATGGAGAAAAATGTTTGTGTTGGCGAGATGTATACGCATACTAACTGCCAAGTGTAATTCGGCATCTTGCTGATGAAGTGCTCCCCCTGTGAGTGAAAATGATGCCTTCACTTTGTCTTTATGGAGGTCTGCTCAGTCTGTGGGCTTTTTTTTTTTTTTTTTTTTAAAGTAGGCAATTATCATGTCGCAATGTCATTGCACTGCCCCAAGTCGTCATGGTAAGAAATGCCGTACTCGACATTGTAAACCCTGGCAGGTTTGAGCAGTGGCTCGTTTGGAAGAAACCGAATTGCCCAACCAAAGCCAAGTGATATTTAACAGTGTATGTTAAGTGTATTATCCTTTGTATTTTTTGAGCCAAAAGTATGTCATGAAGCCACCAAGGAAATTTTTAAATTGTGAAGAAAAAAAAATACAGTTTTCCTGAAAGTTGGACTTCCTCTGGAAGGGGAATTTATTATTAGTATTTATTGAAAATTTCCGGACAGATTTTATTCAGAGATGAAGAAGGTCTTTTAAATCCAGTTTTCCAAAATGTCTAGTGAGCTTTGTGAAAGACTCACCTTTTGCCGAAAAAACTGTCGCTTGGCTGATTCCGACCATGAAAAGGAGGAGTAGCCTCAATGGCATTGTCATGCAGTTCCTTCGTATTTGACCTTCAAACTTTCAACCTCTGGTCGTGTATGCTGTACACCAGGACCTCGGCGAAGGATAGAACCCAGCGGCGCAATGTCACCTCTGGTGGGAAAGGAAAAACAACTGCATCAAAAAGATTTGAAAGACAATTAAAAAAAAACATTTCGCGACAGGGCACATGTCGAGACAGACAACCGTTCCCACTCACAATTCTCACTGTCACTGACTGAGAGGTGAATCCACGCTTCCCACGTGGAAGTCAGGCATGTGAACCGCTATACTGTCAGTCCCATTTTCAACCATACTGGCAACAAATGTACTTTAAACAGGAACAAACATGCCTTCAAACATGGACTGGGATGTATTTGAGTGGGGAGGGCTGGAGCAAAGAAGAAGACGAAAAAAACAAAACGTTGTCGAAGCCCCCACTCGGATTTCACATCTGTGTTAGCCATCACCATTTGTCAGGGGCACTCACAAACATTTCCACATCCACTTACAAAGCAATTAACGTACAAAAGTTTGTCGTTGTGTTAAAGCATCGGACATATGCGCAATCTGCCCAACTGGCCACATTTGCACTCAATTCAATGTTTTGATGCATTTTGCCGACCATTACAATGAATTAGATCCAGAGCTGCCATCCATCCATGAGCAGCATGAATTGATATTCAAATTAAATTTAACACGTACGACCCAAATTTGACATCTTATTAAAATGAAAGCAACTAAAAACTTTTATACCTTGCTTGGTTTCCCCTCAGAAACAATGTTTTAAAAATGTGTAGTTGTGCGGTATTACATAAAGCCTCTCAGGAGAAGGTAGAAAGCGCAATCCAATAGGGACGCGTAAATGTCTTACCTGTTTGCGGACCGCTACTTGTGGCTATGCTTGCCTATGCTTATCCTTGTCTCGCATGTTCGTCTTCTCTTTTTATCTCAAGTCTCTCCTCCTCTTCAGTGTGTTTCAGCACCCTCCTCCAGTGTCTCTTTTTTCTGTTCTGCCTGTAGCACCACTCCTTCAGGATCTTGGCAGTACGTCACAGTATCCCTTCGTTACGTCTCCATACAATCTTGAGAAATCATCACCGTCCTCGTCCGGCACGGATGTGGTCATCAATGTGGGACTTAGGGGGAAGACGAGGTTTCGAGGGATGGAAGTAACCATTTCTGCTGGTGGTGTAGCTGACACTGGAATTCATCCTCTTGGTCAAATATTTTATGGGTCTAATTGGAATCAAATGAACAATTATGAATAAACAGTGAAGAGGTGAAAAATGAAGTCATGGAAATGCTTTTTCACCTGTGTAATCAATCCCGCTGTCTACATTTGTAGTTAAAATTGATTACCAAGCATGCAATGCCATGACGATTCCAGAGATCCATTTTTTTCCCCCCAAGTTTAGCTGGAGGTTTACAAAACCGTAATTTAGCTTCTGAAGTCAGACAAGCTGCAAAGTAAGGTAAGGGCACCATCTGGAAAATTTGAGTTTTAGTAAAACTATCCAATGTTTAGGCTAAAGCAATTTCTGTAGCGCTACATAGCTTAGCTTAATGTCCATCCATCCATTTTCCGATCCGCTTATCCTCACAAGGGTGGTGGAGGGTACTGGAGCCTATCCCAGCTGTCTTCGGGCAGTAGGCGGGGTACATCCTGAACCGGTTGCCAGCCAGTCGCAGGGCACACAGAGACGAACAACCATCCGCGCTCACACTCACACCGAGGGACAATTTAGAGTGGTCATTCAGCCTACCATGCATGGTTTTGAAATGCGGGAGGAAACAGGGGTACCTGGAGAAAACCCACACAGGGAGGCTGGAGCCGGAATTGAACCCAGGACCTCTGCACTGTGAGGTCGACACGCTAACTACTGGATCACCGGCCCGCCCTTAGCTTAATGTGAGTGGATGAAATCCTGTTTTTAAGGACAAGAAATTGGTGCTGCTGTTTCCCCTGGCAACACAATGCTTGCTGCATTGAAATAATTGTGCATGCAAAACGTGCACAAATTCAACTATGCATTCAAACATATTTGAAAGCCAATCTAATAACCTGCTGCACCTTAGCAATTGCAAATCCACCACACGCTCCTATCTTTTGTTCTTCTACTTCTTCCTTTCACGACTTTGCTGCTGTGAATTGGGAATTTCTCCATTGCGAGACGAATAAAGGATTTCTTCTCGCCTCTTATCTTAAATTTCTTTTTGCACTTGCAGTGCTCCTCCGAATATTCCATGGTGGGCAAAACCTCTTTCTAAAATGAGATCTGAGCTCAGTAAATATAATTTTGGGGAATAAAACCTGTCTTGCTTTTTTTTTTTAATCAACACCTAGGACAACTATCCTACTGTATTTTAATTCGAGTCACGATGGCGGTAGTTGGACAGCCAAGTATATTTTAGGTGGTACGTACTTGGTCTGAAAACCACTGCTACAAACTAAAAGCAAAAAAGGCACTCCCATTTAATGGTTTTATTTTGTAGAGCAACATTATGCTGTCCTACAAATATTATACAACCAGGACTATTTTGAAAATAAAGACTGAATATTACAAAAAATAAGAATAATAATTGCATGGTTACTGGGCAAAAATAAGTTCATACCATATTTAAAAATAACCATATACTGGAAGATCACAACTGTTAATGTTATTTCAATAGGTTGTTTTTTTTTTTTTTTTTAATTTCTCAATGAATTTTTGACAGGTCTCGACAGACAATGGCTGCTTTTATTTACAGTTACAGTTACTTTTCGGAAGGAATTTAGACATTTGCTTGAAAGTCCAACTTTATTGTGGCTTTTTTTTTTTTACCCCCTTTTTGTCTTGTAATTTATGCATTTTTTTTCAAGAGGGTTTGACAATATTTCTTCTATTATGCACAAAACACACACATGCAAATGTTTTTTTGTTGTTGTTTTTTTTAATGCTCCAGCCTCATTCCTGGACTACCAATGATTTTTTTTTTTTGTGTCACATCATTGTTGATGAATTGTCTGTGATGTTTTAAGACAAGATAAGATAAGATAAGATAAGGAAACCTTTATAGGTCTCAAATTTACAGCAGCAAAATTATGAAAGGGATAAGTAGAAGAACAAAGAGTATAAAAATAAATATAACTACCGGTATAAAATATAAATAGAAGCACATTAAAAATGGGTGAGTGGGGGTGAGTCCAGGTTTTCAGGACAGGAAGATATAATACTAACTATGTGTCAATGATGATTGACCCTAAGCATTTTCCTCATTGCCATCGTCTTCCAGGCTCCCGCTTTCTGAGGTTTCCTCAATTTTTTTTGTCCTTTCTCTGAACAGACCTACAGGAAGTAGTGTTCACTTTCTCCCTTTTTGCCATGCGCGGTGGCCCCCTAATGACAGTAGCAGAGGCCGCTCAGCATACATTTACTGGAATAGTCATTAAATTGACCGTCACCAACCGTGAGTGCTCTCCGTCTAACCTTTTTCTCCTCCTTCTGTCTGTTCTCACTGCTCTGAAGAACCATTTTCAAAGGCTCAGACACTGTGTCACCACACGGACGGTGTGATGGTTCCTACTGTATTTCTGTGAGAACAAAACAATTCTGTCGTTCAAATAAATCACCATTTTTTCTTCTCATCCGGTAAGTCCATAATTATCACTATGGGAATACTAGAGGCCAAAACATTACACATTGAATCCGGACTTTTTTTTTCTTCCCTGTTTATGGATTCTTACAACAGATGGAGTGAAAAGTATTCCCATTCACTAAAATGTCCTGCCTGCCCATATTTGCTACTTATTACAGCATTTAAAATCTATATCGACCTGAATGAGAAAGGAGCCCCTATGAACTCACCGAGCAAGCTTGCTTTTCTCAAGCTGCAACAATGTTTACTCATAGTTGCTGAGTCAGACTCATGAAAGTCAAAGCAGTATTAGATCACAGCCTTGCAGATAGGGTTGTTGAAATGCATCTTAATGTTAGAGCGTGCTGCATTACTCACAGTCAGGCTGCAATAAAATCACATTGAATGTGTCAGTCTGAATGGAGTACGTGTTAAAGATGAAAGATGTGTCAGTGCATGCATATGAGGTTGGAGAAGCGATGTCATCATTTCAGTAGGTAAACCACAGACTAGAGGGCAGGCTGAACATTGACAGAGTCCAATTGGCATCAAATAATAAAATGTTATGGCTCAAACATTGTCTAATGAAACTGTTACTAGGTAATTGCAAAATTGATTGATTGCGTCAAAAGACAGGGAGGGAAAGGTGAGGAATGGTCCAAAAACATGTTTGGAACATTCCATGGGAGAATAGGTTCATTTGAAACAGGTGAGCGTTGTGATTGGGTCTTAAAAGAGCAGATCCAGCTCAAAAGGTCAGTTTTTCAAGAAGCAAGGATTGGGCGACTTTCACCACTTTGTGAAAATAACTGCATGAACAAGTAGCCCAATGTTTTAAGAACGTCTTTCAACATAAAATTGCAAGGAATTTAGGGATCTCATCATCTCCGGTCCAATATATAATCAAAAGATTCAAAAACTCTGGAGAAATCTCTGCAGGCAAGCGGTAAGGCCTGAAAACCAATGCTGGATGCTCGTGATCTTCGATACCACTGGTAGCACTTTATTAAAAACTGGTATCATCGTGTCAAGGCTCAGGAGCACAAAAAAAACTGTACATTATCACAGGTCTTCATTAAATCTACAAATTCAAGTTAAAACTCGACCATGCAAAGCAAAAGCCATACTGGACAGCGAAAAAAACTACACCCAGAAACGTTGTCGGCTTCTCTGGGCCCGAGCTCATCTGAGATGGATGGACGCAGTGGAAAAAGCGTGGGCTGATAAATCCACATTTTAAATGTTTCTTTTTTTAAATTATGGATGTTGCGTTCCCTGGGTTGAATAGAAAAAATGACCATCTGGGCCTTTATCAGCGCAAACTTCCAAAACCTGCACCAGTGATGGTTAGGGATGGGTATCAAGCCTCTCTACTAAATAGTCTGCCGGGGCAGATTTTTCAAAAATTGGAGTACAGAAAAACCCTACCTTTAACGTTTCTCTTAACGGTCTTGAAGAAATTTCAAATTCTTTTTAAAATTTATTTCGGCTATCTGAATGTTATTTTGCACCTTCTACCTTTGTGATCTCGTTTGTAACTGGCAATAAAAATGAACATTTTCATAATTTTCACAATCGGAGTGGAGCCATCTGGGTCCACTGCCAAGGCTGCACGAGAGCCTTCTGTGACTTCTTCGTGTGTGTGTGTGTGTGTGTGTGTGTGTGTGTGTGTGTGTGTGTGTGTATACGTGTGCACCTATAGTGCTGTGTGATCCGATTACAATATGATACAGAGCATTATATAAAATCCTCCATCTTGCCTTATAACCCGATAGCTTTTATACTGTTATTTTGATGTGTGGGTCCCAGTAGCACCGAATCATGCTTTGAAGCCGTATCGCAACCGCATCACCGACTGGGGAGCCCACGCTGCCAAGTCAGTGGCGTCGAAGGCTTTGAGGAGAAAGGTTTTATGAACATACACCCGTGTAGTGTCAGATGACATCCTTTGCATTGGGTTAGCTCTGTTGTGACACCACGTATCGTTTAAGCGTTTCAAATACAGGTTTGGAGCAATATATGCCGCCATTCAAGCAATGCCTTTTTCAAGACAGTGCCTAGCCCCATTCTGCATGTGTTACAACAGCGTGGCTTTGGAGTAAAAGAGTGAGGGAACTGGACTGGCCTGCCTGCAGTACAGACCTGTCTCCCGTTGAAAATGTGTGCTGCATTATGCAAAATATAACAACACAAATCACCGGCTGGTGAGCAATCAAAGTTGTACACCAACCATTAATGGGAAAGTATTCCACCGCACAAGCTTTAACAGTTTGCGTCTTCTGTTCTCAAATGCTTATTGAGTAATGTAAAAGGGAAAGGGGATGTCACACAGTAAGAAACATGCCCCAGCGCAAGCTTTTTTTTTTTTTTT